ATATTATAGAAATATTAACCGAATTGAAATCACGGACCTCACGGTTAACCAAAAAATTGGTTAATTAAAATGCGGTTAACCAACCATGCCCACCCCTAATATTGATGAGATTATTTTGTATAATCATCTCCAAGAAAAATATCAATATGAATTCAGAATTATAATGGGGAAGAATAATAAGCTTTGAGATCGTGCATTAAATTTACAAAATTTTATGAATAAATTGCCGTAAATAGGACATCTGCATTTTGTCCAATTATTGTCACGAATTTTGTCATGAAATGTAATTTATTTTATCTAATTATTAGGGAGTTATATTGCACTATTATTGTACTAGTAGTTTTTAGTGACAATATTATTTTGGTGACAACGCCGGTACTCATTTAAAAAATGGGATGCCGTACCTACAGTTCACTTGATTGGTCCAAATCATTATATCATTTTTAATTGAGATTTAAATAATTCAATTGCAACACTTTGATTGGTCCACGTAGACAAATGTATGGTACATTAGAGCATCTCCAATGCTATAATGTGCACGGTGCACATGTGGCATGAGTGATAGCCACATAAATATTATCATATAAATTATCTCTCTCCTTATTTGAATGATTTTATACAATTTTGGTAAGTTTTTCTCCACAATGTCAAAGAGACTGTCTAGATGTTGACATTGTGGAGAAAAACTTACCAAAACTATACAAAATCATTCAAATAAGGAGAGAAAGAATTTATTTACTAGTATTTATGTGGTCATTTCTTATGCCACGTGTGCACCGTACACATTTTACCATTGGAGATGCTCTTATGGGTATCATAGAATCTACCTATTATTTTTGGTATGTTCGTATGATTGTACGTAAATATGGGGGAGATTTTGTTTCCTTGAATTGAATGCCATGCTTCAACTATACCAGTACGATAGAACTAAAATTTACTTATGAAAAATCTGTATAATTGTTTACTTACTAAAGTTACAAAAAATCAGTACGATAGAACTAATTATGCAATCATTACTTGATAAAGATGGAAACAATAAAAGTTATTTATGAAAAATCTGTATAATTGTTTACTTACTAAAGATAGGAACTATTTATTTTATGTAAACATAAACATGCAATAGAATTATATAATTGTTACTCCATCCATCGATAAAGGAAGTTATTTATAGTTATATCAGCAGCCTCTCATCATATGATATCTTGGAAGCTAAGCTTTATTATTTGTATATACAATAATATCGCTGCCTGGTTCATGCAAAATGCAAACGAAGCTTCAACTTGGTTTCCCAGGTACTCTCATCAAACTCCATTGTTTGTGTGACCTTTAAATCCTTTAAATACTTCACATACAATGATACAAAATTGTGTGCAAAGTTTGTGCAAATTAGTTCATCGACCAGTTCGTCTTAAACAAAATTATGATACATAACTATCACTAGCTATATAGGATGCTTTCTCCTTCTCTCTAGGATTGAATGTCTCTAGTTCATAAGTAAATAAAGTAATGAACTTGTGGTGGAAAACGTAGAACAATTGAAAAAGGGTGGAAAGTTTGGAACTTTGGATGAATGAGCGAGGATCAAAACTCGCAACGGCAGTGTGAAAGTCACAACTTATGTGTGTTGTGCTGCATGTGCCTCTAGTGCACATGAATATAAGGTTTACCATCATTATAACTTATTGAGTCACTGTGATTTATAATCTCTCGTTCTATCGGGTCAAGATTGAGGATGTTTTCTTTTGGACTGTTTTTAGTCCCAGACCAGACCAGACCTAAACAGATCAGACCAGACCAGACCAGACCAGACTTAAACAGACCAGACCAGACCAGACTTCCGTAGTTATAAAATACATAGAGACCAGATGTTTACCAGACCAGATCAGATCGAACCAGACCAGCAAATTTCAGTCCAAAAGAAAACATCCTGAGGGTCTTTAGGCTTTGGGATTCAACCTTAGCTTGTATGATTTTTTTTTGAAAATACATTTTTTGAGCTTTTTAGTAATTATTACGGAGTAGTTTTCGGTGATTGAAAAATCTTAAACGAAAAATGCAATATTGTTTGATAAAAATTGACTGTTTGATTTTATTTTATTTAGTACACAATTTGTGAGTAATTAATGGTAAAAACTACAAACTTTTGTCGGATGGTGTTCGGTGTAGCTTCAAAAATATATATTTTATTTTGATAAAATTTCTTAAAAATTGTCCAACAAAACAGACAACTATAAACTTGTAGTGATTTTTTTTTGTTACAACGGAAATAAACTTGTAGTGACTTTTTAAATATTACAAAATATAGAAAATAGAGACTTATTTCTATCAAACATGCTATAGTAGGAGTATATAATTAATTAGTATTGTTGTCAATTGTCATTAAAAAAGAATTACTGCCTATTAAATTAATTTATGGACTAAAGTTTTTCCTTGTAGCAACGTACAATATTCTCTCTTGTTCACGGTCGTTCTCTGATGTTGGAATATAAATGCATGCCCTGCGGGCTGCGGCAGAATCATTTTATACCATACTCCATTCCAAAAATAGAACTCCGTACGGATTATTTGCTTATTGCGTAACTTTAGGAAATTTATATTTAAGGTACAAATATACATAAAACATAAAACAATCTTTTACCACAAAAAAGACACGAAGTTGTAGCATTTTTGGTATGTGAGAATATGGTAATAATTACGAAAGGATTTTGTTACCTTAGAAGTTGATGATTCAATGCAGCAGTAAACTTCCAAAAGGAAAAAAGCATCAATTGCGAAGTGCCAATATATTTTTCAAAAGATTGAATGGTTTGATTACTACTTAAACAAAGGAAAGTAATTAATGTTGTTATCTTGGTCTTCCATTATATAAAAACCTTGTTGAATTTTTTATCATCATTACAATGAATTTGAAGTTTCGACCAGGTTTCCCAATTCCCAGGTACTACAACAATGCTCTTTCATCCCTTGAAGTGCATGTTACCTTTTTAATGATATGAATTCTTTTCAATGTTTTAAATACAAAATACAAAATTGTTTGAAAAAAATTGTTCATTGTAGTTCAATATGCGGTAAACATAATATAACTAATGAACATATTGTAGACACCACATGAACCAACATATTAGATTGGCACTTTAATTTCAACTAAAACCTACAATGACATGTGAGAATATTCTGTACACATATCATATTACTACATTAGTTTATGGGTAAAACCTCTTCTAATATATATAGCATTTTTTTCATAATTTATCGATGTGGGACATCAACATCCCTTCTCACCATCATACATTTCATCTGGATAACCGGATTGTTCTGTTATTCTTTTTTCATCATTTTCATTTTTTATAGTCATGTTGGAATTTTTCTTAGGGGCTCATGCACACCATGATTATGGAGTTGTTTCTTTATAATAGCATGTTATGTCATAGGGTTCCATCATAAAAACAACCTGATAGGATGATTAGTCATTTTTCTAATATCATAATATATCACGTTATTACTTCATAATCTATTGGTGTGTGATTTCAACATCTTGTAAATAATAATTTCAAAGAATTTTTCTTGCAAAGTTTACTCTTTTCGTTGCATTTCTAGTGTTTTTTTCATAAAAAATTGTGCATTCTGTTGGAAAACTTTTTATGGGAGCAAGCTTGTTTGTTACCCTCTTCATCTCACTAAAATTGTCCAAACTTTTCATTTTGATTCGTCGCACTAAGATTGTCTCATACCAAATCTAATAAAGTCTGTTTGAGTCTAAATCATTCTTATTTTATCAATTTGATATCAACCACACAAACTTATTTTTCTTAATAACTGCAGCACCTCATCATGTCTCAACATTGGTGATGTTACCTAACTACAGCATGCACAAACAAAGAGATATAGGGCTAAGTAAGCAAATTATACTCCTTGTGGGATATTATGCCAAATATAACAGAAAAAGGGCTAAGTAAGCAAATTTTCCATGCTTGTCAAATTCATTGTGAGAAATTGATTTATCGGATACCATAACTTATGCATGTGTATGTATGTTATTAGCCCTTAAACTTATCATATTAAAGGCTATTTTACGGAAATAAACTACAAAGTTTTTTTATGACATAGATTTTATAGATATTTGAAAAGTACATACGAAAAAAGGAAACTGAAATAAAATTTGGGGAATTTGATTTTGCGGTTTGCACGCCATTTTTGGCGCGACATTGAATTCTGTAGCATGAGAGTAATGTTAGGATGTTTTCTTTTGGACTGAAATTTGCTGGTCTGGTCTGGTCTGGTCTGTTTAAGTCTGGTCTGGTCTGGTCTGGTCTGTTGAAGTCTGGTCTGGTCTGGTCTGGTCTGAACTGGTCTGGTCTGGTCTGGTAAACGTCTGGTCTCTGTGTATTTTATAACTACGGAAGTCTGGTCTGGTCTGGTCTGGTCTGTTTAAGTCTGGTCTGGTCTGGTCTGTTTAAGTCTGGTCTGGTCTGGTCTGGTCTGGTCTGTTTAAGTCTGGTCTGATCTGGTCTGGGACTGAAAACAGTCCAAAAGAAAACAACCTTATTGTTGTATCGAACTTTATACCATATTTTCAAAGTCATTAATGTGCATCTCATCGCCTTAAAAATAGGAAGGAATGTTATGTTGTGTAGAGTTAAAATATGGTGAAAATCAAATACCGCCTAAAAATGATGTGTGAATCAAATTTCCCTTATATTCCTCATTTAGAGACCGTTTGGTAACACTGTTTTCGACTTATCAGGCTTATCAGCCAACTTTTTCACCAAACACGTAACTTTTGTTTTTGCGCGCTTAATTGTGTAATAAGCAGAAAAAGTAAGGTTAAAGTTACTTTTCTGATTGTATTGGCAGAGTTACTATAGATGACCATTTTAGCTATTTTTACATATATATTTTTCTTTATTTTATTAATGAAATATATTTTAAAAATATTTTTTTCTTAAATCAGCAGAATCAACCAAAACAACCACTTCAGCCAGAACTTCATAAATTTCAGCAGAATCAACCAAAATTTTCGTACTATCAACAGGCTCTTAATATGACAATTTTTCTCGTCAGTTATACGAGTGACAACCCCTAAAATGTTACAAATGTTACTTTAATAGCGACAACCACTAAAAATGTATCCAAAATATGTACATATCCCTGTTTTTCTAGTTCAGCCTAAAGAAAATAATTTCTTGGATAGGGACCAAAAGTATGTGATCTTTCATACACTTCTTGATTCTAAAATCACTGTAATTCTTGATGATGATGCCATTGGTCAGCCCAAGATTTGACCATGGAGGAGATAATTGCTAGCGGCACTACAAATTTGATATCGGAACCCTCTGATTCTCTCAGCTCCACCGGCCAACAAAGCCACCGCCACAAGCGGCCGAGGGCGGACCCAAACGCCGCCGGCAACATAACTTCATCAAGGTTCAAGGGAGTCGTCGGCCAGCAGAGCGGAAACTGGGGGGCTCAGATTTACGCCAACCACCAGAGGATTTGGCTCGGAACTTTCAAAACAGAGGAGGACGCCGCTGCAGCCTACGACAGCGCCGCCATCCGCCTCCGCAGCGGCGACGCCCACCGGAACTTCGCCTGGACCAGCCTCACCCTTCACGAACCCAATTTTCAAAATCAATTCTCAACCGAAGAAATCCTCAAGATGATCAAAGACGGATCCTACGTCCCGAAATTCTCGGAATTCTGCCAGCAACAAACCGCTCAGACCGGGATCCAAACCGCCACCGCCACCGCCACCGCCACCGCCACCGCCCCACCGCGGGCAGGGAACGAACCCGGTTCGGTTTTGAGGGAGCTTTTCAAGAAAGAGCTGACCCCGAGCGACGTCGGGAAGTTGAACCGGCTCGTGATCCCGAAGAAATACGCGCTCAAATTTTTTCCTCGCACGACGGCGATTACGCCGGAGAATATGAACGGCGAGGAATCCAGCGCCGGCGGAGATCAAGACATGGAGCTCGTCTTCTACGACAAATCGATGAGATCCTGGAAGTTCAGGTACTGTTACTGGAAAAGCAGCCAGAGCTTTGTGTTCACTCGGGGTTGGAACCGGTTCGTTAAAGACAAAGGAATTGGCGCGAGAGATATGGTGGTTTTCTCCGCCTACGACTGTCCGGAGGAAAACGGGTCAGGAAGACGGACTATTTGCGTCGTAGACGTGGAATTCAATAATGACAATTCAAAGGCAAAAAATACCAATGAAGGAAATCCGACAAAGGAGGGCATTTATAAGAATTTCAACGACAAGAAAGAAGGGTTAGAAGTGGAAACTGAAAATGAGGCTGAGATACCCTCTGGGTTTAAGCTTTTTGGTGTACAAATTATCTGAGTTTTCCACAGGGGTAAAACTAGTAACTACTCTTACTAATACACTACTAATTACACTGCCTACTACTATTATATACGTAGTATAAATAAATAGTTAGTTAACATTACTGTATTAATTAGTTGCCTAATTACTAATCCATAGTTGGAGTTCTTGTATTTCTCTCACATGATTTAACTCTCAAAAGTGAGGAGGATATACTTAATAAATATTACCTAGTATGGAGTACTAATTTTCAGGCTTTCATAACATATTTGTAACCTAACATCTGGAAATAGCATGATCATATTGTCATGATCATAACATATTGTCATGATCATTGTGGTGTAAAGGAAGTTGTGGTTAATTGTTATAGTCATTACATATTAAAATCGTATTAATGTTATCTAGTGAGGGAGTGTATGTTTAATTTGCATGAAAAATCAAACTAATAGTTCACAAGCATTATTAATTATAGGGTATAAATGACAGGTAGACCTGCACAAAAGCGGGTTCGGGCCGGGCTCGAGCCGGGCTTTCCATAAGTTTTCTGCCCATCGTGTGTGGGCGGGCCCGGCCCGGCCCGCAAAAGTGGGTCTAACCCCATGTCCATACCCGCCTGTAAGAGCGGGCCGGGTAGTCCACCGGGCCGTCGGGCCTGGTAAAATTTTAAAATTTTCAAAATTATGTAATTTATTTAATACTTTATAAATAATATTACAACATTTAAAAAATTGCTAATACGCTTATAATGTATATAGGTCTTTCATCACATACACAAAAAATATTTACAAAAAAATAATAATGAGAAACTATATCTAAAATTTAAAATTCAAGCACAAAGTATTATCTTTAAGTACTCCCTCCGTCCCATTTAAAGGTTCCCGTACACTATTCTCCGGTCAACGTGCATTCCTCTTAATCTTTTACTTTATATATCGAAAGTTTATGAAATATAAATATTTTTTTGCAGGTTTTGTAGCGGTTTTAATGTAGTTTCTGAATATGTAAATTTTATTTTCTAAAAATAATTCTATTAATGACAGGGATCATTTAACTTTATGGTCGGTCAAACGTCGTAAACCGTGTGGGAACCTTAAAGTGGGACGGAAGGAGTACAAAAATAGATATTATATTGGTTGAACTATTTGTTAAGAACTAAAAACTTAAATTTAAACATAATAAACTATAAATATGTATACAGATAAATTAATAAATATGAAAATATACAAGTGTACATGTAAATAAATACATAAATTAGTATATATAAAAAATATATATGTATATATACTAAATGTAGCGGGCCAGGCTTATCGGCCTGAACGGGCCTACACCCTAACCCAAGCCCGCCCATATGTTGTTGCGGGCCGGGCCCGGGCCGGACCGGTGGGTAAATATATATGTCCAAGCCCGCTAATTTGTGCGGGCGGGCCGGCCCGATTTTGTACAGGTCTAATGACAGGTAGTGTGATGTTATAAAAGGTATTATCACATGTGAAATTGTACAGGGTTCGTAAATAATGTATTATATGTGAAAAATGTGTGACTCTATTATTCTTAAGTGTCAATTGATTATGGGTTGTTTGAATCTGATTCTTAAAACTGCTTCTGCTCCTTCAGGGAGCAGAAACAGAAGTTGATGTGTTTGGAAGAAAGTGCATAAGTGATTCTGATGCTCTAATTTAATTACTCCTAGAATCAATTTTTTTAGAAGTTGATTTGGAAGAAAGTGCATGAGGGAGATCAGCTTCTGAAAAATGATTCTGATTCTGCTTCTACTTTAAAAAAGAAACACAAGCATAATCAATTCCAAACACCCTATAATGGATTCATATTCAATAACCGGACCTGTATTGACTATTTTCATCTTTCGAATTCCAAATTGACAACTAACATGTTTTTCATTTTCTCGGTTCATAAAATCACAATATAAAATTATTTAAAATGGTAAAAGAGCTTAACAATTCAAATATTTTTTTAAAAATCAATTATAAAAACATACTGAATTATAGAATTTTTTGGTAATAGTATTAATAGAATTTTTATTAACTAATACGAAACTGACACATTATTAATTTATAACTCAATTTTATTACTACGTATGTAAAATAATACTCCGTATTAGAGATCACAACATTTATCTCTCACGATATCAAGAATGAGTAAATCGAGCGTTAGTAATGAAATCTATAATTATAAGGGGTGTTTGGTTAATGGCCTATCAACCATTTTTTGGCTGATTTGACCAATATTGGTCTTTTGACTTGATGAATCAGCTAATATGTGTGTTTGGTAAAATAGCTTTTTAAGTTGGCCTTTTGTCCCAAACAGCCAAAATTAAAAACGCCAATAAACCTAGCATTTAGGTATCGGCGTTTCGATTTTCCATCGTAATATTCCTACGATACCCTTGTTGCGTTTCTTTCTCGCGGCTTCTGATCTTACTCGCACAGTCATACTTGCAGGCTTCACTCCTCCGAGAGCTACGATTTTCCTTCCTCCAAGGTATGTCCAATCTCTTTCAAATCTGAGAACATACTCCGTAGGTTTCACTCGCAGCCATCTCTTGAACTTCTGTAAAGTGTTTATACATAATACACTCATAAAGAATGAAGAAAATACAGAGCTTTGAGAAGACAATTTTAATATCTTGTTCTGTAATTCGTTTTCCAAACTGATTAGTAATTTCAGTTGTTTATATATGGGCCGTAAACTTTCTTGTTGATACAGAGCTCTGAAAAGATACTTTTAATTTTGATTTCTTGTTAGATACACAGCCCTGTTCTTGAACACCCCCTGAATGCCCGTAAACTTTCTGTAAACATGAGATTTGAGCCTGATATTAAGTTTAAAAATCTTCACTTTTTTGTGTATTATTGGTTTAGATAATAATTACGGAGTATTAAAAAAGCTTATGGATGATAAATTAACAATATATGCTCTAGTATGTTTATATTGAGTGCATATTTAGGGCAGACTTCACTTCTGAAATTTGTTGTGTAAAAGTTTGTTATTAGTTGCTCTTATTTTGAATTTAGTAATGCTGCTATGAATCTTTAAGAAAGTGGAGCTTGTTTTCTTAAGGTATGTTTTGATCATGGATAACAGCTCCACGGAAAGTTAGACCTCATGGAAAGTTAGTTGAGTTTGGTTTCACTATCATTGAATTCAGTATCAAAACATTGAAACTGTGGTGTCCTTTTCTATTTTGCTGCTTTATTATATTTTTTTTACATGAAAAAACAGTATTCTAGGATTTCTACCTTCTCCCTGCGCACAACGGTTATTTTGACAACTACTTAGGAACATCATGCTATTTTGGTCCTAAAATAAGTGCAAATAGTGCAGCTGTTACTGTTGTTTTAGAATGTATAATAATATAGTAGTACATAGCTGGTAGATAATTATATACTACTTCGTATATGCAATTGATCTGTAAAAGGAATTAATCAATGAACAAGACATGAGAAAAGCTTCAGATCACTTTTATAGTTATATTAGGAAATATAATGCAAATTGTAGCTCAAATAAGTATAAACGTCATAAAAGGTTAGGGTATGGTTCTTTAAAAAAAGACTATTAGGATATGGTTCTTGGGAGAAATAGTGAACTGAGATTGTTATTCTGATTTGTGAGTAATGATATAGTGATATAGCTAATGCATATTAGTATTTGTTTTAAACCTCGGCTAAAATAAGAGTAATACGGGATAGTACTAAATGTGGTTAAAGTTTTACTAAAGTAAAATAATGTACTACGTAGTAAATAGTGATATTAGTTTTTTGCTTATTTTCTATAAATATTTCATAAATTATTAATTTAGTACTGTGTTATTTAGATGGATCTCGCTCGAAAAAGATTTCTAAATGATAGTCAAGGAAGTCGAAATAAGAACGCTGAAAGTTAACGAAGTGCAACTATAGGTAGAGTTAGTTGGACAAAAGAGTTAGTACACCTCCTCTGTGACCTCTGCATGCAAAATGTTGAAAGGAATAAGGGGAAAAGTGGTGGAGTAACTGGTCAAAGGTTGGCATGGAAGAAAGTACAAGCTGAATTTGTCAAACATACAAACCTTCATTGGGATAAAGATAAACTTAAGCATAAGGTGGATTGGATGAGACATAGGTGGGGTCTTTGGAAACTATTGAAAGGAAAGGAGACGGGATTGGGGTGGGATCCTGTAAAAGGAACCATTGATGCCTCTGATGAGTGGTGGAATTTCAAGATTAAGGTTAGTTTTTTTTTGTTGTTTAATTTTTTTTAGTACGTGTTTTAATTTTAAGTACTTATAAGTTATTTTAAGCTTTAATTTTGTAAAGGAGAATTCTGCATTAAAGCCATTTCGCGAAGAAGGGATTGAACCTGAACTTGAATCTAAGATGGATCAAATGTTTGGTTTTTATGCCCAAGGTGCATTAAAATACACTCCGGTGTGTGATCTCACAGAAGAGGATATGCAAATTGAAGATGATAATGTGTATGTTCCTTCACCACCTTGTAGTGGTACTCCACGCAATCAGCTTGATGACATAGATGCTTCATATGGTGGTAGTAGTTCTAATACTCGTGAAGCATGGGATGATGTATGGAGAGACGATAGCCCCCCTCATTTCTCTCCTATTGGTACACAAATGGAAACAGATGAAAGAAGGAGCAATAAGAGAGTTGCAGTGAGTGATGCACCACAATCTAATAAGAGTGCACGGGTTGAAACCACAAAGAGAGCAGGTAAAACTAAATCATTGGGTGACAAACTTGATAACATGATGCAGCTCATTGGAGAAAGGAACAATACATCTAAGGGAGTGCATATGTCAATGATGAACGTCATGGACTCAATGGTCACACCAAAGAATGGAGAAATTATTGA